CTGAACATGTGTCTTAACATCGCTTACAGGCACATGTAGACTGGAAAGAAATAGTAACAATCAAGATTACGAAGACACTTCACATTCTTATTTCTAAAAGTTCGAGGTTCGTAGACTTAGAGTAAAATTCGTTGCGTGAAGTATGAAGTACGCCTTTCTTGCCTTCAGTGTACGTTTTGACGTCTTATTCATTGCATCATAAACACTACCCAATTAAATACCGGGTTTTTTCTAATGTTTTCAATAACTAGAAAACTTCGTCACATGTGTTCACTAGCCGTTCATGTGTGGTTTGTGTAGTGTACATTGCTTTCCAGCAAAATGAACTGGTGTTTATACTATAGATGAAATGATCTGTAAGTTTCTGTGGCGGTCATTTAGTCTATCACTGTCATATTACATACTCCAATTTTAAGGGTGAGTACAACAACGGCCTTATTATAGTATGATGTAACACTTTCTGTTTGAATTACTTGCAAAATTTAGTTGTTCTCTAGCTGAATGTCATTCAACTAGAGAATGATGAAACAATGGTTAGTTTTGATATAACTAGTCTTTACACTAATATACCAATCAATATGGCCTTAGAAGCAGTTAAAAAAGAACTAACTGCGGATTCTGAATTCAATCATAGGACGAAGCTGCCCAATGAAGAAATTATTCTAGGGATTCAGTTATGCCTCACATCTACTTACTATCTTTAAATTCCAAGGCAAAATATATAGACAAACAGAAGGTGTAGCAATGGGATCACCAGTATCCCCTATTGTAGAAGAAATATTTATGGACAGCTGGAAAATATGGCTCTTAACACATTTCATCCTACTCCGAATATGACACTTTCACAGTGTTAAAAACAGAACATATCTCCCTCTAGCTTCTTGACACACACAAACTCACTAGTGGAGGGAATAAAATTCACACTTGAGTCGGATAATGAACAAGGAGAATTAGCTATGGTGTAAGATTGTAAAATAAAACGAATAGAAGGTAAACTGCACACTAGCTCTTATAAAAAGCCAACACATTCTGCTAACAGATATTTAGACCTCTTTAATTCATCGTCTCATCCGTTCCTTATCTGTCTGTAAAGGCAGACTTAGTTAAGTGTCTGACAAACCGAGCAATAGCACTAAGTAGCACAAGAAAAGACTTAAATGATGAAATAAAAGATAGAAGAGGCGTTGGTGTTAAATAACTACCTCGTCCCGCTCATCTAACATTGATTAACTCTCCAAAGCTGCTGTGTGTCACATTCAACTCCCCGGAGCAGTTGTCCATATCACTTCAACGGTGGTATGAGACCAAGGGAAAAATTGGAGGACACATCCGATGCTGTGAAAGCAGACCCAGAAATATAAGGAGGCAGCAAACTGAGGCTTTAATACGACCCCAAGCTTCGGTGACACTAGAGCGATGCAGCTCTGAGAATAATAGTCTGTGTCTCCCAAGTGTCCTGCCTAAATCCATTGAAAAAAACTACAACGGGCCGGTTCTATCGGAATCGGCCAACTAGTTCCAACATCAAGTCCCCCACCAGCAGACGGTTTCACGTCAACTACCCCACAACACTCTGAGGTTGTTAGACTCACTGTCAGTTGCCTATATAGCAATGTGAGGGGGCTGAGAGGGAAAGTAGGTGAACTTCGAAATCTCCAAGCACACCTTCAACTGAAAATAATCATTCTTACTGAAACGTGGCTAAACCCCACTATCGCCGACAATGAAATCAGTATAGGTGATATGGTACTGGTCAGAAGAGACAGGGATAATAAGGAAGGAGGGGGAGTTGCTATATACTTTGATAGGCAACTTAAATGTGTGCGCGCAACGGACCCACCACTTATCGAACTCCCAGACTCCATATGGTGTCATTTCACCGTAGGCCACACCAAGCACTTACTGGGTGGCATCTACCGATCTCCCACCTGTGGGGCAGAGCACAATCAGCTACTGCTCAGCACTATCACAGGAATACGAGATTTGGGCTACGACCAAATCACCATAGCTGGAGATTTCAATGCTCCATCACTGAACCTCGGCTCCGGGTGTGCTAAGGGAAAATTTGGCCGAAACCTACTGCAAACTATTCGAAACACGGGACTGACTGAGAATGTTGGAGACGACACTAGGTGGGGCCCTAGTGGAAAGTCATCAAAACTAGATTATATTCTAACTAGTGACCAGCTACTCGTCGAAAAGGTCCAGATCATGACTCCTCTGGGAAGCAGTGACCATGCAGTCATAGGTTTCGATCTTGTCCTCCGTGAGCGTTTGCAATGGGATGTTACGCGACCATGTCTGTGCTACAGCAAGGCTGACTATGCTGAAATGCGGAGGCTCTTGTCCGACGCAGACTGGCCCTTAGCATGGGACGACCTATCTGTGGATGAACACTGGGAAGTGGTAAAAAAGATTATCCATACAGCAATCTCGGATACCGTCCCTTTAGTCACAACACAGCCTAAGAGAAAGACGTCATGGTTGAAGAGAGGCACGCAACGTATTCTGCAAGCAAAGCGGAAGGCTTGGTTTACGTGGCGTGTATCTAAGAGTCAGACCGACCATGATGCATACCTCGAACTCAGGAACCGGTGTAATGCAAGAGTCAGGAGGGACAGAAGGTCATTCCAGGCTAACCTTGCTAAAAAACTCCTATCAAACCCTAAAAACTTGTACCGATTCATGTCGGAAAGAAAACCGACAAACCAAGGGGCATGCGCCTTAGTAGGCCCAAACGGTCAATATCTCACTAGTCTGGAGATGGCTGAAACATTCAGTTCAGCCTTCGCTAAACAGCTAAACAGCAATGTGGATATTACAGTTACGGACCAAAATGGTGGCACCACTATTTCAGAGGAGGAAGACCTAGCGACTACTCCCCAAATAAACCCCGCAATAGTACTAAGGAAGCTACAGCGACTCATACCTGGGAAGTCCCCAGGTTGTGATGACATCAGGCCATCTGTTCTGAAACAGTGCGCCGAGGCTCTCTGTAGACCCCTGTGCGACTTGTTCCAACACTCAATGGATTCGGGGACCCTGCCAAGGGAGTGGAAAAGAGCCATCCTTTCTCCGATCTTCAAGGGTGGGGACAGGCAAAACGCTGCTAGCTATAGACCAGTAGCTCTACTCCCAGTGGTATCAAAAGTACTGGAAAGTATTATTGACGACCACATCAGGGAATATTTCGATAGGACTAATATACTACATGAAGCCCAACATGGTTTCAGAAAAGGCAGATCCTGCGTCACTAACCTACTGTCAGCTTGGGACGACTGGACATCATGCTGGGACTTGAACGTACCAGTCCATGTGGTCTTCCTAGACTTTGAGAAGGCATTTGACACTGTTCACCATGACCTTCTCCTACATAAAATAAACCAGGCAGGCATAGGTGAGCCACTTCTGTCATGGTTGAAGGACTACCTAGCCGACAGGCAATTTTGCACTAAGGTTAACCGAGTCCGATCATCTTGGCACAGATCGTCATCAGGAGTGTCGCAGGGTTCTATCCTAGGACCACTGATGTTTTTGATTTTCATCAATGATCTACCACGCCGTCTGAGCTGCCCGACTCTCCTGTACGCTGACGACGTAAAAATATGGAGGGCGATAAAGTGTCCGGAGGACTCAGATAGGCTACAGGAAGACCTAAACCTTCTGGAAGACTGGGCGGTGGCCAGTGGCATGACTTTCAACTTGAAAAAGTGCAAAGTAGTGAAGTTGCGCACCTGTAGACTGCAGAATGCAAGTTACACCCTGTGCAATGAAAGCTTGTCCTGCACAACGTCGGAACGCGACTTAGGTCTAGTTCTAACGGAAAAAATGGACACAAGCGTAAATTACACAGGGGATGTAGCGAGGGCATATGCGGTCATACACTTTACGCATAGACAGTTAGGTGCACTCACTCCTGAGCTCTTTCTAATGTTGTACAAAACATACGTCAGGCCACACCTTGAGGTGCATAATATTATTGCACCCCCAATGCTGAGAAGAGATGCCAACCTCTTGGAAAGAGTCCAACGACGGGCAACAAAAGGAGTGGTTGGTCTCCGAAACAAACCATATGATGAAAGGCTGAAGAAATTAGGCCTGTTCACACTTAGTTACCGTCGGCTTAGGGGGGATTTGATTACTGCCTACAAAATAACAAATGACCAGAATCACCCAAACAAAGGTGTTCTGCCATTGAGTAGGTATAGGCTTCCACGTGGAAATCCCAGAAGGATAGCTCACCAGAGGGCAAGGACCCGGGTGCGCTCCCACTTCTTTTCACTGCGGGTTTGTCGTCCCTGGAATTCCTTACCGGCAGATGTAGCTATGGCACCGTCTTTGGACGCCTTTAAGCGAAGGCTGGACAACCATGCAGCGATACAAGGACTGCATCCAAATGGCCTATCTCCTTAAAATCGCATTTACCAATCAGGGTAGATAATTAAACTCGTCATTTTACTTCTTTACATTCTCTCCCGTCTTACTCTCCTGACAACTTATTAATATTATAATTACTATTATTATTATTACTATTACCGATATATATATTATTCTTCAAACTTAATGAGCTGACTGTTGTTACGTTTCCTATTTTCGTTTCTGTCTCTTAGTCTGAATAGCTTCACTAATTATATCTATTATTATTATTACTATTATTATTATTATTATTATTACTATCTCTTTTCTCTTGTCGACAATACCGAAGGACTAACTGGCGAAAGGATCAACTCCAATCACAGTAGTAACAGTCTTAACATACCTCATACTACAAACCACATATAATTAATCCCAGCACTACTCCCTTTGGAGTCAACCAAAGCTACGACAGTCGAGTGGCGGGACAAGCTACGCAGAAGTTTACCGAAGATCAAGAACCTATACCTCACAATCAAGAAGCGAGCACAAAGAAATCAAATTGGTTTATACTAGCTCGTAAAAACGATATTGGATATTGGAACATAGGCTCCAAGCCTTCGATCCTCAACCAATAAATCTGAAAAAGCGCATTGGACATTTGAGGTTTCAAGTGCAGTCCTTAAATCCTCAAGGTCAAGCGTTTTGACAAGTTATTAAAAACGTGTTCCTCTGGGTAGCATAGGAATACAATGAAAGTTATCGCAAAAGAGCTGGATAAAAGCTCCTCAGGATACATTACTTTAATCGCAGAGAATGAAGAAGATATGTGGCTAACTTATAATTTAGTTCAGGTTGGAGACAAAATGAGGTGTTCAACAGTCCGCAAAGTTCAGAATGAATCTGCAACCGGTAGTGTTCAAACTAAACAAGTTAGAACGAATCTAACAATTGAAGTGGAAAAAATAGATTTTGACGTTCAGGTAAGTGTTTGTCACTATAATGACTTGTACTCAAGTCAAAAATACAGCTTGAGCTCCAGCTGGTTGTTGAATAATTCTGATTATTTTTACATTCAGCGAGTTTTGTGGTTATTATATCCCATTTAGCAAGATGGCAGGAAATAGCGTATGAGACATATAGTCTCATGTGTCTTATGAAGTGATCGGACGTTTAACCGTTCGTCTCAGAAATTCACCAGTCAGTAAATTTTTTCGTCTCAGTATTCGGCAACAGGAAAGAATAGACACCAACTTCAGACGATCTTGAAACAACCAATAAGATTCTTCTCCGTGAAAAATGGGACTTATTTTACAAAGAAGTGTATCTAGGAATATGTAATAAAAATCAATCATATAGGGTATATATCTCTAATATGCTGTGAAAACTGGTCCCATATTCTCATTGAAGTGGTTATAGACATATTAAACCAATGTATTCTTTACTTCTCCAGCTGTAGAAGATACTGGTTGTATATACACAAAATAAATTTTAAATTTTGATTACAGCTTGATGCCACACCGTATTTTTGGTACAGGTATGGAATTTTCAGCATGTGATATCGGTAGCCCAAGTCTTGCAGGCCGACCATAGATATCGGGTGTGCGTTGTCAGGGGGTCGAACCCTGTGCATGGTTGGCGAGAGTCCTAAACACTGTATCACCGACACAGGAAGAGCTTTGATTTCGAGAAGAAAGTGTTAAAAAAGTCGCCAGTTATGAACCACTCACCAACTTATACAGAATTCCTCATATGAAGTGGTTGCACCTGAATGTATAACCAACAATAGCGTGGCAGTACTTATTTAAAGTCATTACTCCCGCCCCAAATATGCGTGTTTTATTCCTCTCCTATCAATACATTTTCCACAGGGAGGTCAAAAACCAAATTTAGGAGACATTTTCAACTAGAATTACGACTAGCAACCATTTGTAATGCTGAGCTATCTGATTGGTCAAAACAAATTCTTTTAACTTTGGTGTCTCTTGTTTACTCTTGCCTAATATTCGTCTGTCTCAGATTCGTGATAGATTTTACAACTATGAGTTTTTAGTAATTCTTATTGTGAATATGTAGTTGTTCTCTCTGTTTCATTCGCAGTCATAGAAGAGCGAAATCAGTATATACATATCTGTAAAAGTAACATTTATGTTGCTTTTCCTGAGTAGAACAGGCAAGAAACGGAATATAAGAAACACTGAACTTCATTCAGTTTGGCGCTCTATCAATATATCCGGACCAAAATAATCGCCCACCTCACACTTTCACTTTCTTTTGGTCAGTCTCCTATCTGGCAGAAGTTGAGCATCACAGCAACTAAATGGACGACGTTTGTAACTAGTATTTAATTGATCGAAGTAGTGTTGCGAATGAATGATCTATGAGTTGCCTGAACATGTGTCTTAACATCGCTTACAGGCACATGTAGACTGGAAAGAAATAGTAACAATCAAGATTACGAAGACACTTCACATTCTTATTTCTAAAAGTTCGAGGTTCGTAGACTTAGAGTAAAATTCGTTGCGTGAAGTATGAAGTACGCCTTTCTTGCCTTCAGTGTACGTTTTGACGTCTTATTCATTGCATCATAAACACTACCCAATTAAATACCGGGTTTTTTCTAATGTTTTCAATAACTAGAAAACTTCGTCACATGTGTTCACTAGCCGTTCATGTGTGGTTTGTGTAGTGTACATTGCTTTCCAGCAAAATGAACTGGTGTTTATACTATAGATGAAATGATCTGTAAGTTTCTGTGGCGGTCATTTAGTCTATCACTGTCATATTACATACTCCAATTTTAAGGGTGAGTACAACAACGGCCTTATTATAGTATGATGTAACACTTTCTGTTTGAATTACTTGCAAAATTTAGTTGTTCTCTAGCTGAATGTCATTCAACTAGAGAATGATGAAACAATGGTTAGTTTTGATATAACTAGTCTTTACACTAATATACCAATCAATATGGCCTTAGAAGCAGTTAAAAAAGAACTAACTGCGGATTCTGAATTCAATCATAGGACGAAGCTGCCCAATGAAGAAATTATTCTAGGGATTCAGTTATGCCTCACATCTACTTACTATCTTTAAATTCCAAGGCAAAATATATAGACAAACAGAAGGTGTAGCAATGGGATCACCAGTATCCCCTATCGTAGAAGAAATATTTATGGACAGCTGGAAAATATGGCTCTTAACACATTTAATCCTACTCCAAATATTGTATCTAAATTCTAATATAGTATCTAAAGTCTTAGGCTCAATAATCATGCGTAGACTGAGTGGTGCTCGGGAAGCACAAACACGAGAGAGCCAGGCAGGCTTTAGACCAGGAAGAGGGTGTATTGATCATATCTTCACTCTCCGATAGATTCTAGAACATAGGCATTCCTACCGGCGTCCAACAGTCATTATATTTCTTGACCTAAAGGCAGCATTCGAATCTGTCGATCGGGAAGTTCTCTGGAGATGCTTGGTTGTAAAGGGAATTCCGAGAAAATATATTGCACTGATTAAGGCACTCTACTCGTACTCATACAGCCAGGTGAGGGCTTACGGCGAGCTGTCATCTGCACTGATGACGACCAGTGGTGTCCGTCAAGGATGCCCATTATCTCCTTTTCTATTCAACTTCATCATAGATGTGTTAATGGACTTAACCCTAGGTGACTTCAGCGACTCAGGGATTGACTTGCTACCGGGGAATAATCTCGTTGACTTGGAATATGCAGACGATATAGTCCTTCTAGGCGAAGACGCTGACGAAATGCAGAGTCTTCTAAACACCTTGAGCCGCAATCTACGAATGTTTGGCATGCGATTCGCTCCCGCCAAATGCAAGATGATGTTACAGGACTGGACTACATCGACGCCTAGTTTAAAAATAGGAAGTGAAGTGGTAGAGCACGTTGACCGCTTCACTTATTTGGGAAGTACCATCAGCCGACGCCAACGGGTTGATCTCTGACGAAATCTCAGCTGAGTACGGATACAGGGGGCTCGTTTCGCATTTGCCAGTTTACGCCGACTCTGGCGTAGACGAGATGTTCGACTATCGACCAAAGGGCGGGTGTACTGCTCATCAGTCCGCTCCGTCCTCCTTTATGGCTGTGAGTGAGACCTGGCCACTTAGAGTGGAAGACATGAAAACGCCGGCTAGCTGTCTTTGATCATAGGTGCCTGCGTTCTATTTCCCGTGTAAAGTGGCATAATAAGGTGAATAATATTGAGGTTAGGCGTAGAGTTCTAGGTAAACAGGGGAAATCAATCGACGAAGCCGTGAAGCTACAAAGACTGAGATGGTTAGGACATGTGTTACGTATGCCAAGCCATCGCCTCCCTCGACGAGCAATGTTAGCGGATATAGGGTCAGGCTGGAAAAAAGCTAGCGGCGGTCAAACAAAAACTTGGCCTCACCAGTCAATGAAATCCACAACAGTTGGTCTAAGCCACGTAGAAAGGTGTAGACTTCCAGGCTGGGGTCCTCGGGACGGTAAAAATCTATGGTTGGAAACAATTGGTGACATGGCTCAAAATCGTTCTCAGTGGCTAGCGCAGATGCATCCACTCCTTGTGACTTATGATCTCCAATGAAACTGTTTTGTTCTTCGTTATTACTCCTCCTTTGTCTCACATCTCTGCTCACTGTTTCTATTATGCTTTTCTTGTACTTTCTTCTCTTGCTTCGCGTGCTACACGGAATGTGGCGACTTGAACTTCCGCACATTTGTGCAAAGTTCTATGTCGAAAACAGACAGACAGAATCAAGAACGATGTTAATCTGTCTGTAATTCTTGAGTAAAATTGTCCAAATGTAGTTGATGTCTGTAAGGTGAGTAGGATTTCCGAGATATTCCAAACTATCCAACCCCTAGGTAATGTCCAGGTATATTTTTCGTTTTCAATTGGTTAGAGGATTTCTCAACTTGATATGATTATGAGCAATAGTTTGTGCTCGAAACATCATCAGTTAATATAACTGTGCAACACTGTGATTTACCAAAATAAAATCTTATCCATAATGGAGTTATACTCTACCACAGTGCCCAAGTTTGATACTTATATCAGTTAGAGGATTTCATCATAAGCTAACATCAGTTAGAGAACTATTGGAAAACCACCGGGAAGTACTGAACAGCTGTTTCATCCCAGTCTAGGACTCTTCGTTTTTATTTTATTGTACTGGCGTAGCTACATATTGCCTGTTTTTTCTGTATACGCAACCTCGTTTTAAGTTCTCTGACCTTATGTAATGTCTTCTTGTTCCTGTCGTCAATGCCCACATACAACAAATTCATGTTGAAAGACTTTTTATTGTTCCCATTTAACTATTAATAAATGTTAAATGTTTTTCCTCTCACCCCAACCCCTCAGGGTTCAATATTGCATTTAAAAGGACGCAATGTAGTAGAGAATCAATTTGTTAAAATGGGCGCATATCACACCTTGGATTTAGGAGTGGATGAGAAATTTACAATCACTAAAACAGAATGGGATAGTGTTGCTATAATGCTTGTTGAACAAGCATCTGATCCAACACAACAAGCTGATCTTGCTGCAGTTATAATGCATGAAGGTTTAGCCTATGTATGTCTTATAACAAGTACAACTACAATTGTTAGAGCCAAGATTGATACAACTATTCCACGTAAACGTCCAGGCTTGCCAACTGCTCAACATGAAAAAGGATTATCACGTTTTTTTGAGCAAATTATGCAAGCAATAGAACGTCACATTCGCTTCGACAGTATGTTTTTATGCCTAACATGTACTTTTCATTATCTTAGCTATGATTGTCGTGTGTTTCATTTTTGTTTTGCTTTTAACCCCTGTCTGTTGTTGCTATATACAATATTTTCGCGTGGTCATGCGTAGTTTTGATTAAACTAGCCAATTACGGGTTAGTTCTGACGGATCATTTGTGAAAGCTCTTGGGATAACACCAGCAATGCCTATTCTTGCATATTCATGCAGAGAAATCATCGTGACCGTCAGTCAGTAGTTTAGATGTTCAAATTTTACTTATTCCAACAGTTTAGAGCTTCTTGGAAACGTTATGATAAATCCTTATCTTTAGGTGCACATCAGACCAAATGGAAAACTGCCCTCATAAATTACCTGACACGGCTGAGGTTGGGCAAATCCCGGTTTTCCTTCCGAGATGCTCTCACTGCCCATGTCAGGGAAGTCCTGTTCATTACTTTCACACAGCGTGTTCTTACAAAAGTGAAGGAAGGAATCCGAATATTCGGCATTTATCACCGGACTGGTGGGTGTGGAGTACCACTTAGATGAGTTGAAAAACTTTAATTCCAAACTTATGGTGCACATGGGCTCCGAAATCCAAAATGTAGGTGACGGGCGAGTGAACTTGGTTTAGTCAGCGATAGCTGTGGGAAGGTAGCTCTATTGACTCGTGGATTAGACTCCGATTTAAAGGTTCAGGTAGGGGTGGTCCTTTAAGAAAATCGATTCTGGGCGGCTGGGAAATATCTCAGCCCTAATATACATATTATAAAAAAGAAGCATTCAGTGGAAGACTGCACTCACCTATACTTTCTCTCTCTCAAATTACTTCGCCGATTGTATATCTAGCTATATGATCAATTATCATTACACATTTATCCTCATATATAAACCATTTTGATTTATATCATTTCTGTATTTTTCAAGTATTGGTTTTGTTGGGATTTTGTTTGATTGGATGAAGGATTTTATCATGAGCTGACATCAGTTAGAGAACCACTGGAAAACCTGGGAGTGCTGGACAGCTGTCTCGTCATGGTTTGGGACTCTTCGGCAGTACGCACCGACCAGGGTTCGAACCCAGGACCTTCTCGTTACAAGGTGCGAGCTCGTAGACCATTGAGCCACTGGGACCCGATCCAATGACCAGGCCATGAATGCTAACTTCTGCCAATTTACGACATGGCGCAACCATTTCGCAATGTTTCATCTTCAACCTGCTGTACCCTACTGGTCACGGCTTCCCACTAGAACCCCAGGTTAACTGCCTGTGTGAATAGGACCAGTCGCCAGTGAGCATCAGAAGGTCCTGGCTTCCAACCCCGGTTGGTGCGTATTGATGAAAAGTCCTAAACCAGGACGAAACAGTTGTCCAGTACTCCCAGGTTTTCCAGTGATTCTCTAACTGATTGTTATGTACTCGTCGCCAAATTATTGTTATGTACTGGTCGAGAATTTAATAGTCCTGATGCAAGAAAGACGGAAATCAGAAGACCACTAGGTTTGCGATGATACTTCTATTTTCCAAACACAAGGAGAATCAATATGTGTCACACAAGAGTGTGAGAGCAAAAATATAAGAATGTCCGAACAAGTGTGTGAGCGAATATTCAACATGAACAAATCAATAGACAGTCTTAACATGATTGGCAAATTATAATGGAATATCGATCCATATATACATAGCAAAATTTATCAGACTGTCAAACAAACACACATATTATATGGACATATATATCACTGATGTCAGCTCATGATGAAATCCTCCATTTCTGCGTTTGTCGACTGGTAAGTTATTACCTGAAATCTTCAGTTGCTAGGTAGTTACCTCCAGGTATTACGAAACCACATATTATATTCACATTCACCATCTACAACGTTTACACGTCGATGCAAATTGGACAACAGACAAGTCTGGCCAGAAACTTGAAAAGTCTGTCTATTAATGTATTCTGTAACTCAGAGTCCCTCATATAAGATCTTAGTAAAGTGATTTGAATATCATTTGCGTCTGTGAGACAGAATAACATGTTCTACTTGCGTTTGTCTGGGACATCAGCATCCCATTAAGCGCTCTAGAAGGCAAGCTGTATCAGTTGACTGGATCCTCACCAAAGGGTAGTTTATCTTCTGTCAGGTTGGAAGGTTACATTGGCTTAAGTAATAATCGGTCAGAGGAACTTTGCCTTTTTGTCTTCTCTGCTGTACATCGATGAATTGTAGCCTGGGTACAGTTGAGAATGGGTTATACCATCAATTGAATAAGCTTCTCGAATAGATACGTTCGACAGGCTGAGTGTATTAGACTCAAGCATGAATTGATATAAGTATAAAACTTGGGCACTGTGATGGATAAGATTTTATTGTGATAAATCACACAGTGGTGTTATACAGTAATATTAACTGATGACCACATTTCGAGCACAAACTATTGACACTGATAATCATATCAAGTCACTCACTCACAGAACTTACTTGCTTCATTTATATACATGTGTGGAATTGACTAGATATTTAAATAGAAATCAATGTAAGATAAAGTACATTCAGAAATAATAATACGAATGTTATTCATCAATTACAATCACATGGGAAATAAGACGAGTGTTTCTTACATTCATAATAAGTAACTTGTTAGAATGTTGTGATGTACGTGAATTGAATTGAAATAGAATTTTATGATTATTTATTATCCTCCTCTGATTTGACTGGCGGTATTAATATCTTCCATATCTCTGGTATTTACATTGAGTTATTTCTGTTGCATGTGTTGGATTTAGACTCAATGTACCAGGATTCAGTAATCAATCTCTCTCTCCACCTACATAGATTATTTCTTAGAATCTTAACCCTCTCCCACCATCCTATTGTGTTTTTGTGTGTTAATGCGTGAAGTGCAATTGCTGAGCTTTTTTTCTAAATTACTTATCTCCTCTGGGTCAACCATTCTTACCTTAGCTAAATTCTTATGTTCTGATAATCTGACTATCCCTGACCTACTAGTTTGACCTATGTAGTTGACCTAAATCACAGTCATTGCAGGGTATTTTGTAAATTATATTATTTTGCTTAATTGGGTCCACCGGGTCTTTTGGCCCAAAGAGTTTGTCCTATCTGAGTGAGTTTGTAGGTTTGAATGCCACCATAATTCCTGCTTTATTAAGAATCCTACGTAGGATCTCAGATGTCCCATCAGTTAATATTACTGTGTAACACTGTGTTACTTATCAAGTTAAAATCATATCTATAATAGAGCGAAACATGAGTTGTTTGCGTGGTCCAATAATTTTTTATTATTTTTTTTAATTTTTTTATTTCAGCTTGATCCCACACCGTATTTTTTGGTACAGGTATGGAATTTTCAGCATGTGATATCGGTAGCCCAAATTTTGCAGGCCGACCATAAATATCAGGTGTGCGTCAGTGGCAGGAGATCGAACCTCGGACCATGTGCATGGTCGGCGAGAGTCCTAACCACTGTGCCACCGACACCGTCTTCTGCAACTTTGCTCTAATCACAACCTCTTTGTAGCCACCAGCATAAATATCATGGTATTACTACCTGGCGTCCTCCTTCTACCGTAATGCTGGGGACATCACTCGTACCTAATTCCCATGAAACTTCATGAACTCTCTTACAAACAATCAGATCGCCGCGCCTGGGCAGCGATGATTCGAGATGTTCATGAAGCCGGCTCATCCTCCCGTAGGAGATAGCCGAAGTAAAGTAAAGTAAGTTCTACCGTAATCATTAGTTACTGGCAGTGTGATTCCATCCACAAACTGTCTCTCTTTATGGAGAACTTGTTTGATTTTCGATCACGTCTAGGTATCACTTGGCCAATGCAGGGTAAATTACTGTATATATCTGTTTTCTTCTTCGTATAGAGCTTCTGCTTGGTAGACGCTTGAATACCGAACTAATTGATTTAATTAATAATGATAATAATGGCAGCTTTTTCGTTAAACCATCTCCCTCCCTCCCTCATTATTAATGACTTTCTTGTTTTTTCCCTATTTTCTTCATCTCTATTTAAGTTGTCAAGTGTATCATATTAGCTAGTCCTGGATTTCTACGTGAACAATTTTTCGAGTTTATGATACAAACAGCAACAAGACAAGAGAAACGTGTATTTTTAGAAAATAAATCTAAATTTATGCTTGTTCATTCGTCATCTGGTCATAAACATGCCTTGAAAGAAGTGCTCACAGATAGTGTTGTTATGAGTAAATTGGCTAATACTAAGGCTACCTCAGAAGTAACAGCACTGAATGATTTTTATCAAATGTTAAAAGTTGATCAATCACGTGCATTTTATGGGTACGTTTTTTTGTTGTTGTGAGTACTATTCATGTTTAATTCATATTCATATCATGTTTTCTCTTTTTCTTACTCTCTCTCTCTCTCTGTTTTTGTCTCTCGTTATTTATGTATGTTATAAACTATTTTAGCCATCATATTAAATTTCATGCAACCCGTTTCGTTGATTAGTTTGAATAAAGAAAAATGTGAACAGGCATATTTGCTGACATGATAATACGAGCTGGTATTTATTTCACAGACTCTCTTCAACTGTGTACATCAGTCGATGAGGTTGTAAGATGAACATCTTGTGCTGCAATCTACGAATGTTTGGCATGCAATTCGCTCCCGCCAAATGTATGGTGATGCTACAGGACTGGACTGGACTACATCGACTCCTAGCTTGAAAATAGGCAGGGAAGCGGTAGAGCACATTGACCACTTCACTTATTTGGGAAGTACCATCAGCCGACGCCAACGGGTTGATCTCTGACGAAATCTCAGCTGAGTACGGATACAGGGGGCTCGTTTCGCATTTGCCAGTTTACGCCGACTCTGGCGTAGACGAGATGTTCGACTATCGACCAAAGGGCGGGTGTACTGCTCATCAGTCCGCTCCGTCCTCCTTTATGGCTGTGAGTGAGACCTGGCCACTTAGAGTGGAAGACATGAAAACGCCGGCTAGCTGTCTTTGATCATAGGTGCCTGCGTTCTATTTCCCGTGTAAAGTGGCATAATAAGGTGAATAATATTGAGGTTAGGCGTAGAGTTCTAGGTAAACAGGGGAAATCAATCGACGAAGTTGTGAAGCTACAGAGACTGAGATGGTTAGGACATGTGTTACGTATGTCAAGTCATCGCCTCCCTCGACGAGCAATGTTAGCGGATATAGGGTCAGGCTGGAAAAAAGCTAGCGGCGGTCAAACAAAAACTTGGCCTCACCAGTCAATGAAATAAATCCACAACAGTTGGTCTAAGCCACGTAGGAAGGTGTAGACTTCGTGGGTGGGGTCCTCGGGACGGTAAAAATCTATGGTTGGAAACAATTGGTGACATGGCTCAAAATCGTTCTCAGTGGCTAGCGCAGATGCATCCACTCCTTGTGACTTATGATCTCCAATGAAACTGTTTTGTTCTTCGTTATTACTCCTCCTTTGTCTCACATCTCTGCTCACTGTTTCTATTATGCATTTCTTGTACTTTCTTCTCTTGCTTCGCGTGCTACACGGAGTGTGGCGACTTGAACTTCCGCACATTTGTGCAAAGTTCTATGTCGAAAACAGACATATATATATATGTATATATATATAACTAGCTGTTATTTCAAAAGAGTTCCAAACTAGGCTGACGAAACAGCTGTATCCAGTACTCCATAGTTGGTTTTCCAATGCTTCTCTAACTGATGTGTCAGCTCATCATGATGAAATCCTCCAACCAATTCTTCATATATGACAGAATTCAGTCTGCAGTAAACAAAGGACTAGACACGTGACACTAGTTACTAGTGTCCAATCAAAATTTCTTGAATTAGTTCTTCGTTTTTTTTTCTCAGAGGAGCTGGTTGATTTAAGTGTGAAGCTTTTTTCGTCCCCCCATCTAGACAACATCCCCCTTCAGCGCAGGTTTTAGTATAAAATGAACCTATTCTTATTCTCTGTGAATGTCTGTCTCTGTCTGTCTGGATTCAACATAGAACTTGGCACCGAAGTGCACCAGTTCCAGTTGCCACGTTCCAAATAGCACACAGAGGTAGACAAGAAGATGAGTGAAGAGAATCAATAGAGTTTGACAAGTATAAGAGTGAAACAGAATGGGTAATGGTAGAAAGGAATATGAAAGATTACAGAGACTGAATACATCTGCGCTGGCCATTGACAACGATTTTGAGCCATGTCACCTGTTGTCTCCAGCCATTGATTCCTAGAGTCCCGAGGGCCCCAACCCGGGAGTCTGCATCTCCCTACCTGACCGACTCAGTTTAACTGTCAAGGATTTCATGGATTGATGAGGCCATGTTTTTGTTTGGCCACCACTGGCTCTGTGAATGACAGTACAATTGTATGTCCTGAAAACCTCCTCTGTCGTGACTGGTCGTTAATTTACGCTTCTATTGATCATATTTTTATTGACTTGGAATTCAAAATTTTCTTGTCATCTAATGATTCACTTTTTATTAGCTGATAAATTTGGTCTATAATAGTAATGTGTTTGTTAGTTGCTGGTTGATTCACCGGAGTACCAGACTTATAGGAATTCCCTGACAAGTGTTTCCTCTACTTAAAATTTCTACATTCTCCCAATCATCGAATTCGTCTCCATAATTGTCCACATGCATTGATGTGAAACAGAAATACGTATCGTTCCTTTTCACGGACAATTTGTGTTCTTCGATTCGGATTCGAAGCGGACGCCCACTTTGTTGACCGATGTAATGTTTATTGCAATTCATGGAATCTATTCTGTAAATGGTATTGATCTTTTTTCTTTCTATTGGATCATTTGGTTAGTAGAATATCAAATGAAGGAATTGTGTTGGCCGGCTTGTGTGCTATTATCTGCTTCAAATGGTTATGTTATTTCAGAGATATTTTTTTTTATAGATATGATAGAATGAATTTTCTTGTGGAACATCAGCACTGAGGCGCGGGGGGTTACTGACGAGCCCCAGGAAGGATGAACTTGCACGTTATGAATTCCACTGCTAGCCGCCAGATAACACCATGTTTAACTTTAAGAGATTGATGAAGAATCTGCTATAGTAGCGGACATTTCAAAATAGACCTAAGATTACTTACTGTCCAATAATAATAAATCAAATCAAAACGGAAACAATACAAATTCAACTCAAACAAACACTCACTCAAGTGGTACATCGGTGGAATACTTGTTCTTTTTTTTTTAAACTTTTTCAATAACTTCACTTATATTTTTTTATTATCACTATTAATCATTGCCAATGTCTTCTTGTATTCTAGTTATAAACATGTGAAGACAGCTGCTGAAGCGTTTGCTATCGATACACTATTGGTATCTGATGCATTATTTCGTTCAAGAAATTTAGAAGAAAGAAAACGATATGTTGAATTAGTTGATCAAGTGAAAGAGAATCAAGGAACTGTACGTATATTTTCTAGTCTACATATCTCCGGTGAACGTAAGTTTTGTAAAGAAATTTTCCTTGATTACCTTTAAAGGGTATATGATATGTGTGCTATTATTGTTTATTCCCTTGGGTTCCTAGTGGAAAACATAAGGCTGGCTTCAGCAACACATCTCCTCCTCTTCATCTGGTCCTACAACTGTTCATAGTCTCTCATCTCCTCCTTCGTGTCACTCTTGAACACAAGCCCAACTTGTCATTTTGCTCTTCATCTTCCACTCGAGGTTAGACCCGGTGTGTAATGTCATTCGACGGTCTCCTCAGTGTGTCCCCCCGATCTATCTGCATTTTCTTCGGGGGATATTTGTTGACCAATAGGTTCTTAATTGATTCCTTCTCAGAGTTTCTTGTTGCTGCTGATTCTTTCTGGTCGGCTGGCCATTTGATCTTCACTATAGAGCCAGAAAAGTCAACTTTTGGTAACAGTCTGCAGTAGTCTGTTGGTGAGGTTTTTTGTGATACATGCGCCGCTCTCATGACCCTTACTGACTGGACGGAATCCGAATTTGGTTTTTGTTTATGGTGAGTTAGTGCGGTAGATGCCCACAGTGATTTCAGAGTGATAAAGGTCTATCTTGCCTTTCTGATTCTGACTGGTTTACACTGACATCCTGATCTGTCCCGCTGCCTGGAGTTGAAATGATGCTTTCTAGACAAGTGAAGAAATTTCTTCCGTTGACAGTGATTGGGGCTTGTTGTTGTTTTTCGTTGGTTATTTCCACCAACTCTGCCTTCTCCATGTTCACTTGAAGTCCCGTCTTTGCTCCCAACGTCTTCTTCCAGTTTTTTGGTTTTCTCCTGTAGGTCTTCGAGTTCTTTTTGACATTAGACATGAATCATGCACGAAATCCAGATCTTGTAGAGCCTTTTTTGTTTGTTCAACGTATCCCCGTCTTCTCGCTCCCCAGTCACAGTCTTTCGCATAATTTAGTCCACCACAATTATGAATATCATCAGTGATAATAAGCAAACTTGTCCATATATATATATATATATATCTGTCGGTGGTATAGCGGTTATGACGCTCGCCGATCATGCACATGGTCCGGGGTTCGTTCCCCGGCCGACGCACACCTTTACCTCTCTAAGCCAGAAATAATTCTGGTAAAGAGGAAAGGTTGGGCATGAGGCTAGCAACCCCATCCTGTAAAATAAACTCTGCCACAGAAACTTCAAGCCACTAGCTTGAAGCTCTATGTTCCACTGGGGAACGTGAAGGAAAATATATATATATATATATATATATATATATATATATATATATAATTTATTAATCCCTTTAATTCCTAGAGGAACATAGGGCTTAAGCCAAACATCTTCATTACGTTCGGTTCTCTGCTAGAGTTTTCACCTGGTTCCAAGTCTGCCCACATGCTTTCATCCCCTCTTCACATTACCTCCTCCAAGTCACCCTTGCACTGACGACCAACTCGCCGCTTCCATTTCGGGTTCCTCTCGAGCGATGGTCTAGCGTGTGATGTCAGTTGATGGCTTGTTTTCTCAAAGTATTGCCAGCCAATCCATCTCCATTTCTTCCTGCTTATTTGTTTCACAACCGGTTCCTGGTTGGTTCTCTCATTTGCAGAGATCCCTGTTGCTGATTTTTTTCTGTCCATCTGATGTTGAGTATTGGGCGAAGACAACTGTTAATGAAGGTCTGTAGTCTGTTTGATGTGCTCTTTATGACGCTCCAAGTCTCTGATCCGTATAGTAGCACTGACTTCACATTGGAGTTGAAAATCAGGATCTTATTTTCATTTTCATGCTGAATGCTGTTGACCCCCACACAGACTTTGAGAGTAATGAAAGCTTGTTTTGCTTTCCCGATCCTTGCTTTGATATCCTTGTCAGTTCCGCCTGAAGTTGAAACGATGCTTCCCATTTAGGTAGGTGAAGGAGGTTGTTTCTTTCAGGTTCCTCCCATTTATGCTGGCTGATCATTGTCTGTTGTTGTTGTTGCTTTTGGTGTTGGCCAGGAATCTTCATCACCTCTGTTTTCTCTGTGTTCACCTGAAGTCCTATCTTTGATGCTTCTTCTGTCACCAGCTGGTTGCTTTTCACTTGCATATCTTCCAGTTTGTGGGAAATCAGACATATATCATTTGGGAAGTCCAGATCCTCCAAGTTTTTTGAGTGGGTCCATTTTATGCCTGTTTCCTAGCTGCCCGCCGCTGTTTGTTGCATTATCCAATCTACTGCAATCAGGAAAATTATTGGCGATAGTAGACAGCCAGCCAGCTTGTCTTACTCCCGTCTTCACATCGAAGGATTCCGTAAGTTTCCCGTTGTGGATTATTTGGCATGCAACGTTGTCGTACAACTGTTGCATGAGTTGTATGATTGTCGGCGGCTCCCCCTAGTAGCGAAGTAGTTTCCAAATCACCTCTCGATCGACGCTGTCGAAGGCCTTTCGAAAGTCGATAAAGTTGAGATAGAGAGGTGACTGCTATTCCAAGCTTTGTTCAATGATGATCCGTAGTGTGGCGTTTTGATCAATACATGACTTGTTTCTCCTGAATCCAGCCTATTCTGGTCGAAGTTTTTCATCCATAGCTTGTCTGATTCTCTGCCAGCCAGCCAGTCCGCCTGAGTGTAATTCAAAATGTAAAATTTTCAGAGTCAACCTTTTCTACCTCCTTTCCCCTTATCCAAAGTGGAGGGGCAGTATAGCTGGCTTGCTGGGAAGCTGATGGAAACACCCTACCTCTGTTTCATCCTGCAGCAATACCAACTTCGCCCACAGACATCGAACACATATAGCGTAAATGACCTAAATTATTATGGTATATCTGCTTTTAGTCTGGCCACGCTATCCAAACGGCCTTCTGTAGATGCGGCAAGACCTGCAGAGACATTCCTTCCAGCCAGTTTAAATCATTGGGTCACTGTGATATGCAAGTATGACCAACACGTCATTGTTAATAGCTATCTGCGGGAGCAGTTACACTGGAAGGACAGAAAGAAGGGCATATCTACGATTTTCTGAACATGTACCAAAAAGCTTATGTCTAAAGGGAACAAATGCTTTAAACAGTGTCATTGCCAAGCATCTCTTTGACACAGGTCATGAGGTGGATGTTGCAAGATTGTTCAAAATTATCAATAGGCAAAAGAGCTCAGTTCTCTTAAAGTTTGCTGAAGCTATCTACATCAAGCTACTGAAACCTGATTTATACGTCCAGAAAGAAGCGGTTATCAGTCTTTCTTTGACACCCTGGTAACTAGATATTTTCACTCTCTCTCTCTCTCTCTCTTTCATCTAAATGCGTAAAGCTGAAAAGTTTCCGTTGTGTATGATTATTATTGTTGTTCGGAATGGTGTTTAATAATGAACTCTCTGTGGAAGTATGTTAAAAGTGTTCCTGTAGGTATACTTTATGATGACTGTAGCCTGTAAGCAGCTTACAAGAAGGCAACGAAATAAAAGATGGTACCACTTTATTCTGCAATAGCTGTAGTTTTTTGCTTTATTCAAATTGATTAAGGGGAATAAATCTAATAGCTATCGGTCAGATATTGAAGACGATTAATTTTACTAAATTTTTTTTTGTAAAATATTTTTACTTGTTAAATTTTCATCGCAAACCAGTATCACAGTTGAAGAGATCGTTAAAAGCCATCCAAGAGTACTGGGTAGCTGTTTCATCCTAGCTTGGGATTCTTCAACAGTACGCGCCAACAATCTCTCTCACTAGGGAATTTTATGTTACACGAGACCCAGTAGTAGTAACCAGTGGGGTCCATCATCGAAGATATTGGTGGAGGTAGCGCTGCATCCTGAATTGACAAATTTACAGTTTATGAGCTATTATTGAATTCCTCTACCTAAATCGTCAAGGCGTGGATAACGAGCGCTCAGTCTGGTAACATGAAGGTGCCAGGTTTGATCCCTGATTGATTCGTGGGTGTGGTTAGTTGCTGAAGAGTCCCGAACTATAGGGCTAAATAACACTGTTCAATGGTTCCCGATTTTTTTTAATGATCTCTCTTCAACTGATACTGGCTTGTGATGAAAATCTAAGAGATCGCCTGGTCACATTTTCACATTTAATAATAATAATAATAATAATCTTTACAGAACTGAATCAACTGTCTGGAGTTGCTGCTATCCTACGGTTTCCAATCCCTGAACCTGTAACTGATGATGAATCAGACGATTCTGATGAAAACGGTGATAGCTAAACAATATTGGGTGTATGTGTGTGTGTGTGTTTGTCTATGCCAAACTACCTTCTTGGATAACACTGTTTCTCTTCTGAGTTACCTCCGGGTGACGGGTCTAGAGGGAGGTGTGAAAGATGAAAATGGATTATATTTAAATATTTATATAGGATGTATTGGTTGCAGTTTTTTTTTTAAAAAAAACAATTTCTTTTTGACTTTTCTTTCAAGAATATTAACCCCCCTTCAACAACACTCCCACCCTCCCTTACCCCGCCCACCGACTTTTGTACATAAACCTAGTTTTCCTTTTGATTTGCCCTGTGGTTTTTCTCTTCTCCTGTTATATGATGTAATTCCTCATTCTGATTTGAATATTTTTTGTAAAAGAATAAAATAAAACTATTCATGAAAAAATCCCCCCTCAAACATTAATAGAGAGAGAGAGAGAAAAGACGGGTAGTTCAGCGAATAGTTTCTCTTTTTTTGATGGCGAATTCTATCTATCTGTCTGTTTTCGACATAGAACTTTGCTCCGATGTGCGACAGTTCGAGTTTTCACACTCCATCCATGTAGCACACAAAGAAAGTAGAAGAAATCCATAATAGAGACAGTAAACAGAGGTGTGAGACAAAGGAGTAGTAATAACGAAGAACAATATAGTTTCATTGGAAGTCATAAGTCACAGGGAGTGGCTGCATATGTACCATTGAGAACGATTTTCAGCCATGTCACCAATTGTTTCCAACCATTGGCTTTTACCGTTCCTAGGACTCCAACTATTCAGGAAGTCTACACCTTCCTACGTGGCTTAGACTAACTGTTGTGGATTTCATTGACTGGTGCCATGTTTTGGTTTCATCGCCACTAGCTAGCTCTTTTCCAGCCTGATCCTATATCAGCTAACATTCCCAGCTGTCGAGGAAGGCAATGATTAGGCATGCATACGTAACACATGTCCTAAACATCTCATTCGATGTGGCTTCACAGCCTCGTCGATTGATTTCCCCTCCTTACATAGCACTCGACCGAAACCTAACCTCAATATTGTTCACCTTATTATACCACTTCACACGGGAGATAGAGCGCAGGCACCTATGATCAAGGACAGGTAGCTAGACTTTTCATGTTTTCCACTCTCAATGGCCAGGTCTCACAACGGAGCGGACTGTTGAGCAGTACATACACCCTTTGATCGATAGCCAGCCGGATATCACGTGTACTAAGCCAGAGACGGCGTAAACTGGCATATGCGAAACGAGTTAGAGATCAACCCATTGCAGCTGAAGTGAAGCGGTCAACGTGCTCTACCACTTCACTCCCTATTGCTAAACTAGGAGTCAGTGTGGTCCAGTCCTGTAACATCATTTGGCATTAGGCGGGAGCTGATTGAATGCCAAACATTCGTAGATTGCAGCTCAAGGTGTTCAGAAGACTCTACATTTTGTCAGCGTCCTGGTGGCGAATTCATGTACAATAGCGAATATATAAACGTGGTTATTTTGTATGTGCGTGCGTGTGTGTGTACACTAAATTTGTCAAACGAAAATACAGTTATCAAGTTTGTGGTGGAATTACGTAATACGAAAGGCGTTTAGATGAATTGGATTTTGGTATAAGAGGGTAGTAACAAAAGTGATGAGTTGTCACAAAAATGAATAGTTTAACGAAAGAGTTGTGCTCAGGGTGTACAAGGAAATAAAATAAAATATGGAATTACGTAAAAGTTTTGGGTAGTTAGAAAAAACAGCCAGACAAGCAAAAATTAAGTCAGATCAACAGAGTTCTTACCGTGATAGTAGAAGTGGTTGAATAATTTTCTTTTGTATACATAGTTCTGGTTTTTCTAACTGAATGACTAGGGCTTCTACAATACAAAAAAGACGGAAACGTATTGTCTTCAGTAGGTTGTTCTTCACTTTGTAGATTACTTTGAAGCAGGAGGCGTTTGTTGTGATGGAATGACCAGTGTTGATGAGATATTCGATTATTGCACTACTTCCTTTCTACAGCCACGCTGGATAGTGTTCTTTGACCGTTTTTTTTGACAGGATACCCGTCGAACGACCGATGTACCCCTGGCATCACAGCAACACCAGGTGAACTGATGTATACACACACATCGAAGTGGTCAGGTGCTAGATCTTATCCTTTGGGCTTCTGCAGATCAACGGGCTATTTGGTCCGTGTATGATTTGCTTTCTGTGATGAGACCAGCTTGTTCCGGTGGTTGGTGGAGTTCTGCATCCAGTGCATCCACTTATTCTCTCCAGGATGAAGTGACTTACTATTTTGCTTGACCATGGACAAGAATATGATTCTGCACCAGTTCTTTGGCAGTTTAATAAGCTAATGGTTCTTTCGGTCAATAAGTACCTTTCCTTCCTTGCAAACATTTTGTAATAGTTGATCGCTCCATCGAAAAGAAAAAGTCTCTTCCCAAATAAACATCCTCTTGTGTATCGACTATATAGTCGTTTATTCCCAGTCGTTGAAAATGTGTGTCTGTGGGTCAAACACAGAAGGCTTGCCAACCAAACACACACCCACGATTCAGGTTCATTTCTTGTCTGACATACTCCTAAATTCCGCCTAGTTTACTGGCCAACAGTTAGTCGTGAAAAGAGGGGAACACCCATATGGACATTAGAAAGAAGTTCAGCAACACAGATATCTTTTTGGCGATTTCATTTTCAAAAGCATCTGTACAATCCCATTTAAATACATAATTTTACATGGATACAATTCTTATTTGATTCCACATAATTACGACGGCAAATGAGAGGTGATAATTATTTTCAACTAGATATGGTTTACAACGAAAGGCTTAGAAACAAAATTACACGGGATTAGAACGGATAACAAGTGCGTAAAAAGTGAGCATGGAAACAAAAATTGAAATAATAATTTTCAACTTGAGATGGGAGATAGGAGATGTGAATATAGATTACAAGAGCCTTAGAAACACAAAAATTGCACGGGATTATAGCGAATTACAGGTGTATAGAAAATGTACTACAGAAGCCCTCACAATATGCATTGAGAAGCCGGAGCTGTGTGTTCAAAAGAAATTAGTCCAACCTCTACAACTACCATGGACCTAGTTCAGTATGTTCCCTTAGTTTCCGCTTTTTTCGTTCTCTTTTTTCTTTTTGATCTTTCGTTCGCTGTGTGTGATTCTTACTCCCTCTGTCTTCATTCGATTCACTCCATTTTTTCAGTTATCAAAACAGTTATTTTAAGTTTGTTTCCATGCTTTTCCTGTGCACATTTATAATTCGTTTCAAATAACTATTTTACAATTATATCTCAGTCCTGTGCAATTTTTGTGTTTCTAAGGCTCTTGTAATATATATGCACACCTCCTAACTCCCATCTCAAGTTGAAAATTATTATTTCACTTTTGTTTCCATGCTCATTTCTTACACACTTGTTATCCGTTCTAATCCCGTGTAATTTTATTTCTAAGCCTTTCCTTGTAAACCATATCTAGTTGAAAATAATTATCACCTCTCATTTGCCATCGTAATTATGTGGAATCAAACAAGAATTGTATCCATGTAAAATTATGTATTTAAATGGGATTGTACAGATGCTTTTGAAAATGAAATCGCCAAAAAGATATCTATGTTGCTGAACTTCGCGTTCTCTTCAATCTAAAAGACGGAAAGTTGGATGTGGTGGCTATCAGCCTCATCCTGTAAGAATAAAAAAAAATCGCTATTGGGATCTTTGAAGCTCAAACATGGAATTTTATTTTCCAATTGGAGCATAATGGAATGAAAGAAAGTGTGTGTGTGTGTGTAAAAAGGGTATATACCTAAATTACTGATAAGAACCTTCTGTTACACATACAATGATGAATGGGATATTCGAATTACTGCAGACTTGGTGAAGGGGGGGAGCTGTAAACTTAAGATTCGTCCAAGTTTTCCAACTCTCAGTAGTGACTATACACGGTAATGTACTTGATGTGTAAAAAATCTTGCTGTATTTCGTTGGCTTAGCCCTGTGAAATAACCCCAGCAATCCTCAGTTTCCTACAGATACTGTCATTTAGTAATGCAGACTGACTGTAAAATTAACACCAATTGTTTCAGAATATGAGAATGACCACTATAAGCAATACCTAAAAAGTAAAAAGGTTAAATTCTCGTAGAAGAGGATCCTAAGAAACAGTTTGTTTCAGATTAAGGCATAGCTCAGTGGTGACGTCTCTGATTACAGCATTAGGTGACGCGAGTTCGAATCTTAGGAGAGAAGACATCAATTCCTCCAAGGTTGTAGATACGCCATTCTGACGAGTGTCAATAAGCGCCTAACATTAAATACAAGGTTTACGGCCGATTGGCTCCAACCATCTAACCTGGTTGACCACATTACAAAGTTGGCTAATATAGAATCCAAAACGAAGTTGCCTAGAGTTCTAGGGCGAAGTCATCACCGGCAGTGGGATCCACCCAGTCGAGATTGAAGACATCTACTCTCCCTCGATGACATTCATGGACTACTCATTGAGTTGATTCCCAGTGGTTGAATGGTCTATGAGTTTGCATTGTAACCGGAAGGTTGTAGTTTAAAAATAAGAAGTGAAGTGGTAGAGCACGTTGACCGCTTCACTTATTTGGGAAGTACCATCAGCCAGTGCCAACGGGTTGATCTCTGACGAAATCTCAGCACGAATACAGGGGGCTCGTTTCGCATTTGTTAGTTTACGCCAACTCTGGCGTAGACGAGATGTTCGACTATCGACCAAAGGGCGGGTGTACTGCTCAACAGTCCGCTCCGTCCTCCTTTATGGTTGGCTCTGAGACCTGGCCACTGAGAGTGGAAGATATGAAAAGACTAGCTGCCTTTGATCATAGGTGCCTGCGCTCTATTTCCCGTGTAAAGTGGCATAATAAGGTGAGCAATATTGAGGTTAGGCCTCGGTCGAGTTCTAGGTAAACAGGGGAAATCAATCGACGAAGTCGTGAAGCTACAAAGACTGAGATGGTTAGGACATGTGTTACGTATGCCAAGCCATCGCCTCCCTCGACAATGAGCAATGTTAGCGGATATAGGGTCAGGTTGGAAAAAAGCTAGTGGCGGTCAAACAAAAACTTGGCCCCACCAGTCAATGAAATCCACAACAGTTGGTCTAAGCCACGTAGGAAGGTGTAGACTTCCAGGCTGGGGTCCTCGGGACGGTAAAAATCTATGGTTGGAAACAATTGGTGACATGGCTCAAAACCGTTCTCAGTGGCGCAGATGCATCCACTCCCTGTGACTTATGATCTTCAATGAAACTGTTTTGTATTTCTTTATTACTCCTTTGTCTCACACCCCTGCTCACTGTTTCTATTATGCTTTTCTTGTACTTTCTTCTCTTGCTTCGCGTGCTACACGGAATGTGGCGACTTGAACTTCCGC